GCCGGGCTGTGTTGTCGGCTACCTGGTGCTGCGTGGCAGAGGGCGCTGCGGCACACAACCCATCGTTGTACTGCACTTGTACGCTCCCCGCGTCTATGATCTCCGCTGTCGTGCCGAACAGCGTGGAGAAGCATGCCACCCCCCCCCCCCCCCAAAAAAAAAGAGAAGCCGTGTATTGACGGAAGGGCTCTAGCGAGTGTAGCCATTCTTTGATTTATACATTTTCGCGATTCAAGCATCGTTCTTTTTTTACATTCTGAAGTGCATGTAGCGGCCTCTAGTGGCTACAGTGGGTCGCGTTAGCCATACAATATATTTATCTATTCGTAGCATTGCTCGATTCGCTGCTGCGCGTATAGCGTCTCAACAAGATCGATCGTAATCCGCAAATTAATGCATCGTTCCGCGATCGCGCAAACCCGGATTCGAACCCAAATCCTTAAGCGGTGCCGGCTCAGCACTCTGACCTCTGAGCCACCCCCACCCCCCCCGAAACCCCAAATGGCAATGCGAGTGTCACAGCGTGCGAGTTCTGGAGAAGAACTCGCACGCTGTGACGCAGGGCATCTGCACCTCAAATGCATTCCATAGGCCGGCACCGTACGCCGCAGGAGGACTGCGAGTAAACAGTGAACGCGCTCTGAGAAGAACACTGAGCGGCCCTGAGCCACTTTCGTATTCTTTGGTTCTTTCGGTAAAGTCACGTAGATTAAAAAAAAAATGAAAATAAAATATAGGAATGTTTTATTATTATTTTTTTATTTTAATTATATTTTTTTTGTTCTTTCTACATGACTTTACCGAAAGAACCAAATAGTATGAATTCCTGAGGTCGCGAAAGTTTGAAGGCAAAAAGTTCCACACATTTCCATGGCGGGGACCAGTTTATCTACGCGACGACCGCGATACAATTCATACAAAATTGTATGGATTGTATCGACCACGTGCAGAATAATTGGCTAAATGTAACCTTCTCCCACTGCCCCCCCCCCCCCTTCCCGGGACCTAAATCCGAACTCGCGACCCTTTCGAGTTGAGCGTTCGCATCACACGGCCACCGGCTGTCTGTCGGCTTTAGCGGCACACTTCACACGAGGCGAATTGCTCGGTTCGCTGATTGCGAGGTTGGTGTACGGGGTTCCTCGCTTTATGCGGTAGATGCGTTCCAAAAAAAAAGGGCGCACAAAGCGAAACATCGTGAGACAGCAGCGCGGTGTGTTCTCGCTCGTAAGCGCTTTATTGGTGTTTTTTAAAAAATTTATGTTATTAATGCATTTTTGTAATAAAAAAAACATCAAGGACAAACAGAGCTATAACTACGATTCGGCGTTCTACGGGGTCGCGCTAAGCGAGGTCTGTCTGTACACGCACTTTGCTCTCCCTCCCCCGCACCTCCGATTAGCTCGGTTGGCTACGTACGGTGTGAAATAAATTCAACATACTTACGTACATGCATGTAGTCCCACGTGTAAACTCCACTCCTCATCGCATCAACTTCATTACAACAAGGTCACCCTGGAGAACGATCAATAAATAGCTTAATAACAAGTGTAATGTTCGGTACCATGAGTCTTCTAGTACTATTATGGCTTCAGCCCACTCTAAAAAAAAGCAAATAAATCAATTTCGATTGTCGAAATATTTGAGGAATCTCGAGTCTTGCCAGATGTGCTTCGTCCATTGATCGTAAATTCCTCGAACGTGTGGAAACCGGCGTGCTCTTAAATATACAAGGCACCCCATCATGCGCCACACTCCTCCTCCTCCTCCTCGTCATCATCATCGTAATCATAGTCGTCATCATCATCGTCGTCATCGTAATCATAGTCGTCATCATCATCGTCATCATCACCATCACCGCCGCTGTCGGTGTGATCCACATCATCGGAGTGAACATCGTCATACCTCGCGTCGTGTCTGCCATCATCAACATCACCATTGTCGGCATCGTCATCGTTGCTTGTCTCCATCATCATAAATCGTCATGAGCAGCAATAATCGGCGCCGTCCTCGTCATCATGGCCATCATCACCATCGTCGTCAGCTACTGCCCATCTACTGCTGCTGCTTCGCTCACGTGCTGCAAAGCATCGGTGCGGCAGAAGACGTCAACTTGAGGCCGATTCGCAACTTGCAATAGCGGCGATTGATTCTCTTGGAGCGGAGCTTGTCGCGCGAAATAAAACAAGGGATGACTGTGAGGGCCGCGCTCAAACCTCGACAAACGGCCGCACACTGCCCATCTTTTCCTCGGCTGCCGTTCAAAAACGGCGTGCGCACAGGTTGAGCCGCGCTATCGTTCTTTAGAGAGAGAAAACAAACAAAAAACACACAAACGCGCGTGTGTTTTTGAAGAGACGACGCTCATCCGAATAAGACGTAGAAGTGGAGGTTCTGGAACCGTGCCTGGCACTCGGTGAGACCTGAGTTGAGCGAGCGAGTCATCGAAACCGGTGATCGATAGAGCAGCGCTTAGCGCGCCACCGCTACGATCCCCGGCGACCCGAGTTCAATTCTCGCAGTGACGATTCTCTGAACAGGTTCTGCACCCCCACCCCCCCGTTCGTCGACTCAGCCTCAAAAATTACTTTGTGGGAAGTGGACAGTATTTGTCCTCTGGGTGTACTCGCTCCCGTCATATGAACGAGGAATTTCCACCGCCGGCTCCGTGCTGCGAACAGGAGAATAACGCCGCCGGCTCACAATCGCCGGAACTGGAACTCAATCGGACTTGTGCATGGCGGGCACCGCTGTGGCTAAGAAATGTTAACTACCTCGCCAGATATACAGGAGTTCGTGGGTTCGATCACGTACCCTGACGCCTGCTACTGTATATTTGGAGTTTGCGTGTCTCCCTTCCCGTGGTCGCGTGGATTTTTCTCCGGGTCCTCCGGTTTTCCCTTCCACATTTAGAAATGAGCACACCTTTAGAGTACCTGGGTGCTTTGAATGTCCACGTGATAAGCCACTTCGCTCAGCTATCCTTTGTGGCCAGGTCGCTTCTGCAAAAGCGCTACGTTGCTCGGTTGGCCTTATCTAGTAAAATAACTAACTACCAGTGCCTTGTACGCGTCCGTCAATTGGCCGATGTTGAGCTTCCCTTTTCTCCTCGCTGTTTTATATATTTCTACGCGTGGGTTATTTGCCTGGGACTGCCGGGAGATGGCAGTGCCATGCCACGGATTGAATCTATCTGTGCGGAGCTCTGAGTTGTTGTGTCCTAGTATGCGCGGGGTTTTCCATGTACTGCAGTCTCCACCCACGTGCTGAAAACCCTTTTGTACAGGACTCGGGGCGAGGGGTTTCTTGGGTAAATATAATGCATTATGTAATGTTGAACTTGTTCAGCACCGTACGTAGACAACCGTTCTGATAGTAGGTGCGATGAAAGAGAAAATATCGGTGGTCGTAGTAGTATTGGTTTAGTGTAATGGTCCTCATGCCTCTTCATAAATAAGCGCAGCGCGTGCGTCCACGTTTGTGAACGGCCCGTGGAAGAAGGCATCATTGAACTACTTCTCACAACTTCTCAGATGTCTTTGGTGTGACCCCTTTGCCACGCAGATAAATGTTGAGCCTCTTTCGCAGCGTACGTGGCCAACCGCTATAATCACATCGCAGTAACAACAACAAAAAAACCTGGAGCTGAAATGTAACCGATTTAGGCGAACACCAAATGCGATCTGCGTTTTTATATCGTCACTGGTAACCAGGCCGGGATCATTGACCCCCCGCCACTCTTACGAACCCAGCTTCATTGGCGGGGGCAACTGAGGTCCGCATCGAACCCCAACATCCCAGCGGTGGTGCCGGCTCCATGCTCTGACCCCTGGGGTCAACCGGCCGGTCAATCGACCGGCCGACCACCTTCTCACGTGCGCTACTGAATGTGGGGGGGGGGGGGGGATTGTCGCTTTCCTCCTGCCGCTTTGCTTCCTGACGGCTGCCAGCAGCATCGTGGCGACTTCCATGCCAGGCCAGGAAGGCAGTGAGCTCCAGGCCGTGTGTTCTCTGCGGAACACGTCAGGCACTACCGATGGGAGAGCGGGCGGGGGATAACAGAGCTTTAGCAAAGCACGGTGCCTGGACTGTATTCACCAGAAGATGAGTAATGGATTATGATTACGATGATGGCGAATACACAATGGCGATGATGATGGTGGTGATGGTTATGAATATCGAATGTTGTTGGGTAGACGCTGACGTGGTATTTCATTGAGGGACTGTGTGTTTCCTCTGTATGGTGTGGGACTTTTGTTGTTGTTTTACTGCTTTCCCGAGATGGGAAATGATGTACTAATTAAATTTGAACTAATATATTTTGTTGATTTAAGGGGCGCCAGGGTGGTGTGATGCTATCTTCCTCGCCTGGTACGCAGTAGGTCGAGGGTTCGATCCAGACCCTGACACCTGCTGCTATATATTTGGAGCTTGCGTGTTCTCCTCGTGGATTTTTTTTCTCCGGTTACTCCGGATTTTCCCTACACATTTAGAAACATGCATTTAGATTATTTAGATTATTTAGCTGCTATAAATATCCACACGATAAGCCTATTGTTTGAGCTATCATCTGTGGTCAGGTCGCTTCTGAAAAATAAGCCAATGGATGAGTGGCCTTTACCTGGTAATATAAACATAGTTTAGTTTTATTTGTATGTATTTTTTCAAAGTAATTTGTTTACCTTAGCAATACTTTGCACTCCTATCGTGTTTTGCATGGTTTGTTGTAACGTTCTGACCCGCTGGACATCTGTGAAAAAAAGCTTTACAGCTCATCGGAATCGTCCCTGTATAAATAAATACTCTCATTCCGATAACGACTGGATGCATTCAAGGCTGCTGAGAGTCGACCTTCAACGAGCAGTGGATATACCACGGCTGATGCTGGCTGGCTTTCTGCGTGCAGGCTTCCGGGACTCCGCCATCTAGCAGCGGATAGGACCATGGCTGATAACAATAATAACAATGACGACATGACGATTGGCTGGGTTTGCTTGCAGGCTGCCGGGAGACGGCCTTCATCCACGCCGTGATGAGCGCGGCGCTCGCGCACGGCGTGGCGCGCGCCTGCAGCGAGGGCAGCATCGCCTCCTGCACCTGCGACTACGGGCGACGTGGCCGTGGAGGTCCCGACTGGGAGTGGGGTGGCTGTAGCGACAACCTGCCTTTCGGAACTCGCTTCGCCCGGGAGCTGGCGGCCGGGGGAGGAGGTGGCCGTGGCCGTGGTGGTGGTGGTGGTGGAGGAGGTCGTGGTGGAGGTCGAGGTCGTGGTGGTGTGGCCGGAGAGCGAGGAGGACGCGACGCACGTGCGCTCATGGATCGACACAACGAGGAGGCGGGCATGCGGGTGAGTGTGGCTGCGTGTGTGTGGGGAGCGGTAGTGTAGCGGTTAGCGCGCTGCGCTATGAACCTGGCGACCCGGGTTCGATTCCCGCTCACGGCCAACACCAGTGACGATTATCTGAACCGGTCCCGGGCCTCCCCTAGGTCGACTCAGCCTCAAATGAGTACCTGGTGCGGTGTGTAAACATCGCCCTACAATCTGTTACAGGCTATATGGGAGATCTTTGTCTTTGACGCGTGTGTGTGTTCATGTATGGGGAGCGGTGGTGTTGCGGTTAGCCCACTGTGCTACGAACCTGGGACCCGGGTTCGATTCTCGCTCACGGCCAACACCAGTGACGATTATCTGAATCGGTCCTGGGTCTTTCCGAGGTCGACTCAGCCTCAAATGAGTACCTGGTGCGGTGTGTAAACATCGCCACTAGGGAGACAAAGGCGGCGGAGCGTGCTGCTGGCCACCCACCCACCCCCTCCTGTGCTGTAAAGGTCGTCGTAGGTGCTCACGAACAGCACTTTCCCTAACAGTTTATTAAGGCTATAGGGGGATCTTTGTCTTTATTGTTTTTTTTGTGTGAGGAGCCAACACCAGTGGCGATCATCTGAACCTGGTCCTAAGCCTCCCGTAGGTCGACTCAGCCACAAATTAGTACCACTGCATTCACCGCAATGGTGTAAAACGTTGTGTTTTACATAATTTAAATACTACGGACGTCAAAAATCCTCCGATGTCATTCGCAAGGGTTAGACCAGGGGTGGGGAACGTCCGGCCCGCGGGCCGTGTGAGGCCCGCGAAATCATTTGGTGTGGTCCTGCCAAGGCAACCGCAGGCGGGACTCGAAATTCAATAAATCTAGGAGCTTTTTTCATAGCAACATCATCAATACCAGCTAACATCATCACACGCCTTACCAAAGATAAGCAGTTCCAGCCATCACATTAGGGGTGAGTTAATTAAATGTTTGACCAAATATAACGGGCTCATTTTTAAGTTGATCATTTTGTATGGCCCGCGAATGATGTTATAAATATCCAAATGGCCCTTGGCAGAAAAAAGGTTCCCCACCCCTGGGTTAGACCGTCGTGTGCCGGCGTTATGGCCCAAGCGTACCAAATTTGAAAATTACCAATTCACCACCCCCCCACCCCCACGCCCTCTACCGTGAACACTTGGCAGGACCCTCTTGCAAAAAAAGTTGTTTTTCCTGGGTAAAAAACAACAACAACAACAACAACCTCACATCTTCCCCTCTGCCCCCCCCCCTACCCACCCCCTCATCGCTCGCTCGCCTCGCTCGCTGTCTCAGACCGTCGACTCAGAGATGCGTCGCGAGTGCAAGTGCCACGGCATGTCCGGCTCGTGCGCCCTCAAGACCTGCTGGCTGCGCCTGCCCCCGTTTCGCGCCGTCGGCGACCGCCTCAAGGAGCGCTTCGACGGCGCCACGCAGGTGGCCGACTACGGCCGAGAGGGCAACCGCGCCTCCAAGGACTCCGATCGCGGCGGCGGCGGCAGCGGCGGCGGCGGCGGCCACCTGCGACCCGCAGATCCGGCGCACAAACCGCCGGGAGGCCGCGACCTCGTCTACGTGGACGAGTCGCCCGAGTTCTGCCACGCGGACACGGCGGGGTTGTCGTGGCCGGGAACCCGCGGTCGCGTCTGCGTCCGCGGCTCGCCGGGTCTCGGCGGTTGCGAGCTGCTGTGCTGCGGGCGCGGATGGACGAGCAGGGAGGCGCGCGTGAGCGAGCGGTGCCTCTGCACCTTCCACTGGTGCTGCACCGTCACGTGCCAGAACTGCACGCGGGTGGAGACTGTGCACGAGTGTCTGTGACTGCCTGCGGCGTGACAGCGGGTGGGTGGGTGGTGGGGCAGAGGGAGGCCGTGGTGGTGTGATGGGTGATGATGGTGTTGGGTGATGCGTTGCGACGAGTGATGGTTTGGTGTGATGAAGTTGGACTCCTCTCTCGCCGCCGTACCGAGACAGAAACGATTAGAATGAGACGGCATCACGAGACGGATAAGTTATTCGATTATTGAATCGAGTCGTGACGCCGAATCATGACAAACGTATCGATTTGCCTATGGATGTTGAACTTCTTTCGCGCCGTACGTCGCCAACCGCGCTCATTTGAGCTTGCGGGGGAAGGACAACAAACTAAACGAAACAAAAGCTGTTCCGAAGCAATGAATTTCCGATCCGTATTGAAAAGTGCATAGCTCCATTGGCTTCCGAATAAGTGACCGGTTGTGTCACGCGTCACGAGGTGAGCGTCCCTGTGAGCGCTGGGCGATGTGTCGTGTCATGGGTGACGTTTGAACGGGTTCCGTGGTGGGTGAGGAGCGTGCGCCTGATGTGCGAAGATGGTGTGAAGGACTGTGCCCGATGGCTGATGTCCTATGCATCGTGAGTCGTGGCGTGTGCGATGAGCGACGCTGTCACCATCCATCCTGTTCGTCAAGGGACACAGCGATCCACCCTCCCTGCCAGGGATTCTTAGTTTGTTCTCTTCTGTCGAACTGCATAAATTGTAAATAATCGCATGATTTCACGCATGTATTGTGAATGTAAGCATCGCATTTAATTGACTTGTTGTTGTTCTTGCCTAGAAACACTGGTTTAACAAATGCTGCTTGAAAACATTGGGCCCTTAAAATGTTTTTTTTTCTACTTCACCTTTAGGTGGACAAGGAGGGATGAGAGAGTCTCCTCATTCGTCTGTTTGTTCGTTTTATTCGTCACGTAGTGCGTACAGCGAACAGCAACGTGCCTGTCTGTGTGAAGGCCTACGAGGTTTTACACGCTGCATTTTTGATGAGCTTCTTCGACAGGCCGGTCATCTTTAGGGTGTAACTAACACCGATAAGCGGCGATGTTTTTCAATCGATCGTCCCCCCCCTCCGCCTTCTCCACACGCGCGTGTAGTCGAGTCAACAAACGAACACGGAAAATCAAAAATGGGGAATTGGCCGAAACTTTCGGAAGCAGTGACCTCTTGAAAAAGTCCCGAATCTCAAAGAAGCTTCCCAGCCTGTGTCAAATGGAGGACACCTGCTTTTTATGACATTTTGCAAGTGTGATATCTGTTTCGGTAGCAGTAATGTCATTGCTTGACACATGTAAGCTGACTCGATTATGTGCCCACACGTTTAAAATTGTTGGGGTAAAATTACAATTGTGTACATGAACAGGCCACGTACGTAAGATTACTCATGCTAGCCTCATAGGGATAATTTACAGCCTACTTTTAATTGTACGATCTACCCACACAACGAGCGTTATTCTTATTTTCAGCCAATGAATCTACCTGGGACATTTTTTGGCAGTATATTAAAATATAACAACGGGTTTTGTCCTTGATTTGAAGCTTTCGTGGCTGCAGGAATCCATACTCTTTGGTTGTTTCGGTAAAGCCACGTGGGTAGAAAAAATAATAGGTCACGACGTGTCGATCGCAACAACAAGCTGAAGACGGTCGCTTGTTGTTGCGATCGAAACGTCGTGATCTATTATTATTTTTTCTACCTACCACGTGACTTTACCGAAATAACCAAAGTGTATAGGTTTTACCCTTGAAAACAGGGTTTCCCCTTTCTGGCAATAAAACAGGTGTTAAGATGTTAAAACACCAAACAGAATCCCTTTTCAAGGAATCCTGTCTGCATGAACCACACGTTCCTGTGGCGAACATGCAAAAACAAAACCATGCTCTAATAATGATTTAAAGCGTTCGTGACTGCAGGAATTCATACTCTTCGTAAAGTCACATAGATAGAAAATATTTTTTTATTTTACCTAAAGACCCAAAGAGTATGAATCCTGCACTCACGAAAGCTTTAAATAATTTTTAGAGCATATATGCTCTAATAATATATGGCATTGTCTTTGAAACTGATTGGTCCACATCAGAGACATCTTTCTCTAGGGCCTAGTCTCAAAGTGTTAGGACCAGAGAACGCCAAAAGACGACCAGCACAAAGACAATGATCACTATCAGGACATTTCTAGCTCGGAGTGAGCAGTTACAATATGCTACAATATGGTTAATTGAAAAGGGATTTTGTTTGGTCTTTGAACATCTTAACACCTGTTTTATTGGCAGAAGGGGTAAAACATATTGTTAGAATCTACCTGCTGTCAACACAAAGCTACGTTGTCGACAACGACATGTGCGGGTTATCTACGTTGTAACAGGATATCACCCCTCAATGCAGTGTCCGGGACAGACCCACGTCATGACGAACCCGTAGATACACGACCATCATTACCACCACCACCACCACCATCATCATCACTACCACCACCACCACCATCATCAGCACGATCATCACCGTGACGATCATCGCCTGTGCGATCACACAGCGTGTAACGTAGCGCAGAGTTCACACTCAAACACTTGATCGTTACGTTGAATAACGTTGCAAAAGCACACACGCGCACATCGTCGATGCAATGCGCTCTTGTAATTTATAAGGCGAGTATATTGGCATTTTGATGGGCATTATAATAAGTGATTATTACTCAATTTTGGCATCCAGTGTCGTGTTTTAGTTTCTGCTATAGGTGTAGCTACGTGAATTCCAAGTCCGAATATTTGTAAACAAAAACACGAATCCCTTCCCACATTATGAGTTCACGGACTATTTTCACCCAGGCTTTGTCCGGGGTTCGTGACCCCGAACAAATGATTTCCGCTCCCTGCACACCACATCCAGGATACCTCTCGCCGTGGCTGTGGGTACTGCTAGTCACGTGACCACCTCCTGCAATGTGCCAGTGACCCGCAAAAAATGTTCAGCGAGAAACGAAGTTCTGCTTGCGCGAAACGACTCGCACACACGTGGATCTCATACTCACGAATGAGCAGACAAGCACACACGTGGCGCGAGGTGCGTGACCCGTTACTCGATGTTAAGTACCTTGGTAGTTCGTTTCACCTCCTGTCCTTAGCGATTGAATGACTTCTCTCGAGTGAGCAATCGCGAGTGGACTCATGAATTTTGCTACTTTTTGTTTTGAATTAACAACGGGTGAATGCGGTGAACTCCAGTGACGGTGGGGGAGGTCACGTGAACCCAGGAAGTGCAGCACAACATTGGAGCTTACGCAAGGGCGATCTGTTCGCGCGTATCGCGAGACAGAAGAGTCGATACGAATCCATGAATAAATGCATCATCATCATCGTCGTTCGCTAAGATTCATCCACTGCTGGATAAAAGATTTCCGAAACTGTCTGGCGATGGCAACGATCCATATAGCTCGGGGGGGGGGGGGGGGGGGGGTGGTCAGCAACTCTGCGGATCCAGAGCCGCGCGTGGCTCTTCAAGCGACTGATTGCTTCGTGCCGTTGTTCGTTTTGGACTCGGCCGTCTCGTGTTCACCACCACAACAGTGCATAGCGGCTCTTGTTAATATTGAGTTGCTTGCTTATATTTGTTATATATATACTGTATACCAAATTCGAAGAGAATGGATCTTCTTGTCATGTCCGTTGCCGACCCCTGATCTATCTCATGCGCGCGAGCTGATTTCATCACTTCCATCTCTTCGACGTCTTCTCTCCCGTGCTTAATGCTGTCCCGATTACCTAAGCACGTGACGATGAATGCCTCCCCTCGATTTGACGGGCTCGTCACACCGGCATTGCAGAGCATGGAGAGGCTACAAAGGCTTTTTTAGGTAAGATCGCGCAAATGTTAAAATCGGAAGCGGGAAGACGTCTTCAGAATTCTGGCAAAATCGCCCGATGAGGCTGGTTGTAATTACTAGCGAAACTTCGTTTTCAAATTGTAAATGTATTGGGTTGACTCTCCAACACACCGGTGTGCTCAAGTAGCAACTAATAGGTACGATCTTGATTTGAAGCTTTCGTGACTGCAGGAATCCATATTATTAGGTTCTTTCGGTAAAGTCACGTAGGTAGAAAAATAAAATAAAACAAAAATAGGTACGTTTTGTTCACATGACAAGCCTTACTAATTGGCTGTGTCGGGCGGTGATAGCTTAACGACACATTAACATTTAAGCGATCTCACCCCCCCCGAAAAAAACCTCGATTCGTACCCTCACGATTCAATTCGTGTATCGCGACCATAACAATACATCTGAATCGATCGTGACATCGCTTCGTCGATACACGCCAAATATTATTTCAGCGTGGAGTAGTGGCACAGTGGTTAGCGCACTGTGCAATGACTCCAGCGAACCTGGGACCGATGCCCGGCCACGGCTTAAACCCCATCTTGGCCTTCCCTAACATCAGCAAGTCACACCGACAAGCCTGGTGAAGTATGGTCAAGCAACCCCCCCAAATAGAAGCGGTCATCCAGCAGTGGTTTGACGTAGCGCTCCGGGTCATTTTTCAACTTCAGTCAATCGACGTCCGAATTGGCGACAGAGATCTGTGTGTGTGTTTCACGTTTGGGAGCTGCTCTCATTCAGCAGGGCTGTTGGAGGTCGACTGACGTTGGATTGTTTTCAGTGGCGTATGCATGTATGTCTGCATGTCTGTACGTATGTGTGTTGAACTTCTGTTCGCGTGCGTGTTCCGCTCGCGTACGTGTTCCGCTCGCATGCCGTGTTCTGTTCGCGTGCGTGGTCTGTCCGCGTGCGTGGTCTGTTCGCACTCAGTGTTTGAGGTTTCTGGGTGGCGTGTTCCTGGTGGCTAAAACCAGCACCGTACGGCCTCTGTCTCTGGGTCTCTGTGTGTATCTCTGTCCGATTGCATGTCGGTGTGTCTCGCTGTCTGTCAGATCGTTTGTCTGTCTGTCAGACTTCGTTTCCACATAGCTTTTGCGGTTGGTAATCGACTAATTTTTGTAATTGATCTTAATGCTATGTAATTGAAAGCTAATGTGCCACCAGAGCTGACTTCACCGCATGTGTCTAATCCATGATTTAAAAAAAAATCTTAAACTCCGCTGCACCTTTGTTTTCCACATCAGCCTTTCCTGAACAATCACCGAGTGCCTGCACGATTGTTAATTAAGTGGCGACACAAGGGGACATCGGATCGAAACGAGCAGTCGCCCAAATTAACTCCGGAACTCCGATAGAAGTGGGCGGCCAGGGTGATATTAAAATCGTAATTTTAGTCTTCGCGAATACCTATCATAATCTCCACGTCGGCATGATGTGCCTCTGTCGATAGATCTTGGGCCAACACGTTTGATCTCTCGTAACAAAGTGTCTCCGTTTTGCCCCCAAATTGTTCCGCGGAGAGACATCGTTGCCAACAAAGAGACGAGGCCTAAATTTATGGGATCTGTGGCCTGGGCGCAGAGCCACTACGGCTATCGTGAGCGTCTGGGTGCCACCCCCAACATCGTCAGTCGTTAGACAAAACCCCAAAAAGATCGCGGTACGACTGGGAAAAAAAAGATATCCACGGTTGCGCTGCTGCGCATCCCTCTGATGCGGTTTTCGCGTCGCGCGTTGCGTTCGGCACAACGTCCCCGACGTTTCACTCCACGTGCCGGGGAATGTCTTCAGTCCTCATGCAACGCAGTTCGTAAAGGAGCCCCGCGCACGTGGAGCGGGATCGTGGGACGTCATGGGGTGCAACCATAAACAAAACAACAAAACAGCGGAGAGAAATAAACATCGTCTCTTTCGAGCCAGCGCCGTTCTCCCCTCAACAAGGCGACGCGACCGATGGCTGTGCCGATGACGGCGACTTGGAAATAGACAGCAGGCGCGCGAGCAATCGGCTCAGCACTGAGCCACTGGTAGCGGAGATCTCGTATAGTAATCAGAGTTAGAGCAGTTCCAGTTAGTTAAGCAAACGCTTAATACGGTTAAGTCTGTACGTGTCTACCATGTACCCTCTACCCCACAGGACTCCATCCCGAGCTGGGCACCGCCGTGTGGCGGTAAATGCCCTCCCGTGCCGGCTGTCTCACCGAGCGCCTGTAAATAGTCTAGAGAGTGTTACCTTAATTTATTGCGACGCTTTGAATGAATCGTTTCTGTAGTGGAGGAATGCGGAGCGGGGTTTTTGTGCTGTGGCTGTGCAGTGGACGCGCTGACGCGTGTACGCTCGAACGCGCACGCACCACACACGCGCGTGTGTGTGTGTGTGGCGTTTATTTCTCAGAAAACATTTGTCATAATTATTTATGCGTAGAAAGTTGGTTTAAGAGAGTGTAATTTTTTTACGCAATGTTCTTTTGATTTATTTTTAGATTTTTTTTCGATAAATAGCAAATGGAAAAAATACAGTGCGTTTGTGTTCATATATATGTGCAAATTACCCATTTTTATTTTTGTGAAGAAAAAATATCCCAATTTTTCCCAATTGCACGACCAGCGTCAGGAGATGAAACGTGCAGTGTATTCGTAAACGACCCACGGAAGCGGATATCACGCAGTCACCTCTGAGACTCCTTAAGGTGACCTCTGGACCAAGAGGTTAAGGGCAACACATTCGCAACCTCTCCGCACAAGAGACTAA